AACATTGGTGAAAGGTACCGAATACCGATAGGATATTTCTGGTGGCACGATGTCCCTTCTTTAGCTAGAGCGATATAGATTTGTACCTGTATGTCGGCATGTGAGCAAGAGGCTATCGCCCCATAGATGGCGAAATGAAGATGAACTTGGTTTCAAACTTGCGCAACTTCACTGTGCCGCAATCTCGATTTGATGTACTGTTCTTGACACCATGGCCATTGCCTCCACCCCCCTCTTCCAAAACTAGTATACGGCGTAGTAACCCAGTAGGTAACCAGAGTGTTGTCCTATGGTCTACTAGTGGTACTAGGTGTATCCTTCCAAAGAGGAACCCTGGCCGAGGTTACTACTTGCTATCTTCGATTTTCTGTTAATCCGTCGTTTGTTCGGTCATCCCAAGAATCAAAGCCCGATAGTCATTCTTCAATATGGAATTTTGCCGTCCCACATAGAAACACAGTTCAACTTGTCGTCATCACGCCAAGATGAGGGAAAAAAGAAGTGTCGCAGATGACAGATGATGCAGCCCAAAGATCAATAGGAAAACAGGTGACGTTCCTTTTCCCCTCCCCTTCCCGGGTAATACCCAATCACGCTGCCTTGAACTACTCCATACTAACTTTATAACGTTGAAGGATATTCACTATGAAGAAACTACTTATGATGGTAAGTATAATCGACTGTTGGTTTTCCTTTCAACAGGATTGGAGGTATCAGTGTGACAAATACCACATTGTGGAGTCTATGTCGTGGTGAAGTATTATATGTCAACAGTCCTTTTTTTTTCTTGTTATTTCGGTCAAAAAACTTTTCTAGTGTTTCTTCATTAAAAACTACTTTGGTGAGGAGTGGCCTGGTGTGGGGGTAGAGATTGCTTTGTTTCGTTCCATACAGAGACTGGCCTGAGTTGCAGGACACTTGGCTACATACCAATACGAGATGGCTACCCACACCCATGATACCTCGTTGCATACCGGATTTAACATTGGACAACTGATATGATACTGATCTTAGATTGAAGGCATCTTAAAGTGATCATACAATCAAGCTAGAGGGAGGGAAGGAAGAGAATTTAGTTCGTAGGTAGCTAATAACTATACCTGTCATGTGAAGAGGGCATGGTATCCAAATTACCGACTATGTATTTATGTACAGTATGTATGTAAGTACGTACTCGTTGCTTCTGCTCCATACTCCCTCATCCTCCGGATCTTCGTCGCCGAGACCCGATGCATTTTCTGCTAGTGCTAATCTGCCTTAAGTACATCCACTGTTCGCTATGATGGATCCAACACAAATTTAGTCCCAATAGGCCAACTCCATCAGGATTTACTTTGCTTCCTTTGACAGGTTCAATCGATAGCGCTAGTGGCCTGACGATTCATCCTGCTAACTTCTGCACTGACAAATGACTCCAGATCACCCATACATCCATTAATTTATTTGAGTTGTTCCTACTATCCTAGAACCATAAAAGAAGGATTTGGGGGGTGTCAGCCCATATCGAGCGGTGTTTGCTAAAGAACTTAATATTTGTATTCGTCAGATTAGCGAAACGGGGGGGTTAAATGGGATATAACTATTTAGATACTAAGCGCACAAGCTAAATGTAGGAAAGGACTAAGGGAAGAGATAGGACCGGCTAAATGCCATGGTAAATCTCCGTCCAGCCAGGTCAACTCATAATGCTAATCCCCATAGGCAATAAAAGAAAGGGGATCGACTTACCAATGCAATGCAAAGATGTGCTGGCAGATTCACAGATTAGTATCTGGACTGCGTGTTTTGAATGAAAGACTGTTATACCTGTACATACAGACGCAGGTAGGATGTACTTTAGTTGTCTCCATACTTATCATGTAGTAGTTGAGAGGTGTAGGGAGGTGGATTAGTGACCCAAAGAGGAGAATGAAGATTTTAGGAAAGAGGAGAGATACTGGGCGAAAAAACGCAACAGTCATAAATTCTCATCAAAATTATAGACCGAGGTGGCCAATAGAAAAATTCCATGGGAGCTAGCCACCCCCATGCCCCAGTTCTATGCCAAGAAAGACCCACAGACTGCATCGTGTCTTCCCGTTTGGCTGTCACGTCTGTCCTTCAGAAAAAGCCTTGTGCAAATTCTGAGACCATTTAAGAGCTAGACAGCGTTAGAGCCTCACTCCCATTCGTGAATGCGTCCCAGTACCACGGTTCACTAACCAAGCCACTGTAGGTTGGGTGTTGCTGACTTGCTCTCCCGCGCCCAATAGACGCGGTTTCTATGGCTAGCGCTTGTTGGTTTTTTTTTTTTTTTTCCTTTCCCCCTCCTTCCATTCCGTTTTCCCAGACTGTCTACCTACCTACTTAGCAGGTAGTAGCAGCAGGGTAGGGTTAGCCTGTGCGGCGAAGTGCTCCTGCAGTGATCCTTTCTCTGATGAGAGTGATTGGGTCAGGTCGAGGTCGGTGGGAATAGGAGTGGATGTGGGTTGAGCGAGTGTTGAAGGTGGTGTCTCTTCATCGTTGCCAGCGTTTGACCTTCCCTTACAACATCCCACCGGTTGATGATAGATTGCGTGCTTTTCACGGTCAAATCAAACTTTACTAAATTGACTTTTGTTTCTGGGATAAAATTTAATTTGGGCGTCGAAATTACTTTGAATATCGAGTCACGGACGGAGGAAGATATCTTCTCTTCCATACCCACGGTCGAGACCTTAGAAACCCCCAGGAGAGATAATGATTTAATTTAGGTGTCGGAGCGGCCATCGGACTAGTATCCCACAGCTCCACAGCTCCAGATGAGGATGTCCTTGAGCAGGGGCGTCGTCTGATGTTCCCGCCAGCGGCCGAACTGAACCCTGCAATGCTTCGTTTCGGTCTTCCCGCAAGGGCCTATCAGCTCCGGGAAACCGAACTCTTCTCATGTAGTGGCAGGGCTGCAGCATAGTGTGTATTACGTGCAATTATTTTATTATTATTTTTTTTTTCTTTTTTCCTTTTTCAATTTTACGTTTCTCTCATTTATTATTATTATCATTATTATTATTATTATTAAACAAAATACTTTTCGTTTTTTCATTTATTTTATTTTATTGTATATTTTTTTCTCACTTTTGACCCCCCTCTACCTAGGCTCTTTCCTGAATTCGAAATGATTCTCTCTCTTGATGGAGAACATCCACCTTCATAGATTTAATCCATTCATCTAGAACAAATGAAATTTTCCGTACGCTTGAAGGGCAACCTTCTGACACTTTTTTTTTCCCCTCTGACCCATATTTATCGGAGGTTACTTAGGTATACCCTCCGACTAGAGACGGAGTAATGATAGGTTACAGTATTGTGAGAGTAAAAAACGTCGTTGCTGGATAGATTTTTGGTCCAATCGCACCTTGTCAAGTATACTTACGAACAACCTTCAATGAAAATGGTTTGCTTTCGGATAGAGTAGTACTTACACATCTATAACTTGCATTCTCTGTGATGATTTGTAATTCTGAGATTGAGATAGTCTTTCTTCATCTTTGTGCGTCTTTTTTTTTATTTTTTTTGGTACTTTTTGGAAGGGTGGTTGTTCGTTGATTTCGCACAGTTCCAAAGGACTATCCTACTAGAACGGCATTTCCCAATTAAGGTACCCCAGGGACGGACGTTCTTTGTCTGTTATTGATTAATAATTTCATTTCCACGGTTTTTTTCATATCACACTCGTTTGGACCCCTTCCTAGGAAATCCCCGCGTGGCCAAAAGACCACATTGCGACCATTGTGTCATTGGTTTAAGCAGTTGGATCTTTACCTGATAGTCATTCGACCGAAGGCAAAAATCGGGTCCCCATTGACTTTGAACTGGTCAGTTTTGCCGGTCCGACTATTGCCTGTTCGACCCTCCACTTTAGTGATCATCCGTTGAAAGATATCGTCAATTCTAATGGGCCAAACCAAAATCCTAATTGTTCTTCGAGTCTTGCGGCTCCTTCAGACCCTTTGGTTCTGATATAACCTTGCCCGCAGATTGCATGAACTAGACTTGTTTCTTTTCCCCTCCTACTACTTCTGTTCCCTGGTGGATCCCGCTTTGAAAACAAACAGGGGAAAAATAATAAATTAAAATAATAAATAATGGAAATGCTGCAAAAGTATATCAAAGGATTAGAAATACATAAAATACCCGGTTCAAAGAGTCGGTGGTTGTCCTGCACGTACATCCTGCAAGTCGTGTGCCAACGTGACCCTTCCTTTCCACATCTCCACTTGCTTCATACACGATTCAGTGTCTGAATATCCTTCTCCCTCTTTCGTGGAAAAAAAAACCCCCCCAAAAATATCACAGAGACTTGAAGATCATCAAGAAAAAAAAAAGTGGCGAAACATTTTATGGATTTTCAACCACTGTCGATGCGATATCCTTGCATATAGAACGAAAAAGGATATCTATACCTCCTTCAATTCTATTTGATATCCTATTTCTTCTTAATTCTTCTTTCCCTCTCCTACCTTATTTCATTATTTTATATATATATATTTGTTAAATTCATGGTTAAAAAAGATCTTCGGTCGTCCTTTTTACCATTCATATTAACACCCCCCTTTCCAACTATTTTAATTGTTTCTATAAGCAGATACTTGCAGGGTTACTTTCGTGGTACTAGGGTCAAGGACTTGGAAAAGGCATACGAGCATTACCAGGAAGGACATCCACCACCACCACCACCCCCAACGCATATTACTCCTCCTTCTCCAACATCTTGAATCACTCCCCTGCTACCGCAAGCGCTACGCATCACTTCGGAATCATCGTGTACCCGCTGTAGCAGTGATTGTCTCCCGGCTGGACAGGGGGCGCAGTCATCTTCGGGGTCTCTTACAGGCCGGCGTGTCCCAAGGATTCGGTACGCTGCATGGGTTAAGCACAACTAACGGAACCCTTGGCGGCCATTGCCCTCATTTAAGAATCCAACCCGGTGTCTCGTGCGGTGTTGGAAATTCCAAGGTTTTTTTTCTTTCCAGCCATCCACCATTTAACCGTGCACTTTTACATGATCCTTCAGTCCAACACTTCTTCTGGAAGCGTTGTTGTAGCGGCTGAGGAATATTCTTGGCTCATCGCCAACTAGACCACCGCTCTTTTTATTCGGCGTGGCTTCCTTACTTATTACTTATCTCACTCTCTGCCACCGCCGCCGTGCACTCGCGTCTGATCAGTGTGGAAAAAAGTGTTTTAGGCTGTGCTCATCGCCTTACATCCTGCTTTAACCGGAGCCTACTCCTTGATCACTCGCCCGTCTAACCTACTACTCTATCGATCACCACGCTAAAGCAGTTGGAACACGAAGGTCGTGAACCACCTTCCCAACAGAACACAATGGAGCATCTTCACTCGCAATCTCCGACTAATTATATGCCATCATCACGAAAAAGTCGCATGGCCATCGATGCCCTACTGAACCCGTCAGCAGAGTCGAACAACTCCGCTCAACTGCATTACGCCCATTCAGGATCGCAGTATTCACCCATCTACCCACCCAGTCCTAGCCATCATTACTTCTATCACCCCTACGCAGAGAACCATCATCACCAGCACTATCCTTACCGGGAAAGTTCTGGCTCCTCGCAAGACCAAGCGTTCTTGCCATATCGACCTCGGTCGACCGAGTCATCGCCAGGTGCGTACTCTCGGGACCGGTACGACTCGGTCTCAAGCAGTTCTAGCAATGCCCCAGAGCGGCGACGCCCCCCTCGACCAAAGTACGAGGAAGAGGAAATGTACTTCATTTGGTATCACCGCGTGGATCTGTGCCAAGAGTGGAAGGAAGTGCGTGAGAGCTTTAATCGACAATTCCCTAGCCGGCAACGACGCGGATTCCAAGGAATCCAATGCAAATTCTACCGTTTCATCAAGGAGAAGAAATGTCCAACGCTGCGAGAGCAGAGACGCATGCGCGATGGCGAGTTCCTTCGAGAGGGGTCGGGGCTAGTTGAGTCGGCCGCACCACGATTTGGTGTCGTGGAATGGATGGGGGCGTGGTATCCTTGGATGCGCGAGACCAAAGAACAAGTTCTCAGTCGACGCATATCACATTGAATTTTCTCTTCTTTCTTCCTCGAAGAATCCTTACCTCCTTCATTCCTCGACTTTCTACAGATCCTCCTTCCACCTTGAAAAATTTCCTTCCTTACGGCCGTCAAGATACCTCTGAAGTTACTCGTCTACTTTAATTACTTCTTTTAACCTTATGTTCTTTTACCGACAGGGCTATCATTCTGACACGTTACTGCGTTCTTTTTCTCTCATTTACATCGTTTTATGATTCTCACTGGGAGGTTGTCTGATCTTTAGCATGCATGCATCACATCGTCATCATTGTTTTTATTCTGGATTGAAAGGGAAAAAAAAATCCATGGAGACTGTCATTTTATATTGGAGTGGATGAGATAATTAGTCTCGACCGAATTTACTTCTTTGAACTTAGAACAACATACTAGTTTTCCTATCCCGGGAGATAGCACGGATGTAGTCAGCATGTACCATACAATTCCATACAGGGGCATCGATACCCAACACCACAGCATACAGTACAGTACATGCATGGCACTAATAGGTATGCAGCGCAACATCAACAAACCCAGTAGAATAATATAGGTAGGAAACAAATAATATCACATCATAGTACAAGTATGTCAGCGAAGCAAGCGAATAAGCGAAGCCGAACCCTCTAGTTCGAAACCCCTACATCTCTCATTCCCAGGAATCACAGGTAACACATGATATCATCTTACAACCTGCAAGAGGCAGAGTTACTCAACTGGAGCTGAGCAAGGAGGAGACAATTTGTTCCGTGTTCCGCTGTTCCTGCGAAATCCTCAAGGAGAAAGTAATAGAAATAAAATGAAAGTGAAAAAGACAAGGAAAAAGAAAAAGGAAGAGAAACATGAAATATTGGTGACAATATCGAATACCCATAAAAAGGTTATTGTCATTAGCAGAACTTCAAACTGAAACCCTACTTAATTCACATTCCATCAACTCTACATGTAACGTATGTATTGAGTATATACATCCCCATTTTCTGCAAGCGCCGCGGCATAATACTCAATATACATATTGACAAGGCGCATTCAATCATTTGGAATAACATTCAAATAGTTGGTAGGATCTACTCGGCCGGTGATAACACATCTCCAATCATGCAGACTCATGCAAGTCGCCCCTCCTGCCAAATCGAGAAATCGCCCTTCTATGCATCCGTGATGGTAAGAAAAAAAAAAAAAAAAAAAAGCTCCACTTTTACACATCAACATGGATTATGTTGGGTACCTCATTCACATTCATTGGAATGTTGATGCTTTTGGTATGCTGAACTTATAGGGATGCGGAGATTGTAGGGTTGGGTTGGGCAGGGATATCCCTCTGTCACTTGGCATTTTGGTTTGTTTTACCTTTTTCCCGTCTGCATGGTGAGACTGCAGATGGTCTACGTCTCCTTAGTGTGTAGATTGGGTTGGTGTCTGCTCGTGTAGATGACCTTTTCGTTTTTCTTTTTCTTCTTCTCCTTCTTCTCCTTATATATATATATATTTCTACCTTTTCTTTTTGCTTGTTCATGAAGGAAATAATCTACTACTGGATCTTGTATATTTGTAGGATTAGATTGAGGTTTCATGTTGAGCGGGAGAGAGAGAGAAAATATAGCATGACGAGAAGACCATCTGTACCTCATGTCATTTCGTACTTTGTACCCGTACCCTTCTGATGTTGGAATTTATGCATGCCTGGACCAGGGTTGATCCCCAGTCTAAGACATGAAGGGTGTAATAATCATACGTACTGTACGTACTGCACATGTTGTATGATGGAGTCCGCATGCAGAAATGAAGGTTACTCTGCAGAAACAGACTCGGTTTCATCATCTGTCTGCCCTCGTCTGCATCTGCAGAATTGCGGTGAGTGAAGGAAGATGGCCAGGAGAACAAGGGTGTCTGATCGCGTATTGCATCCCACCCCTGCCGAAGGTTTCTCTTTGCCAAAGTACCGTGCATAACGAGCACTCAGATCCAATAGAATAATCAATGCAGCCACCCGTCGTTGTGCCCATCACCAGCTCTCGTCATCAGAATCCACGTGCGCCCGTTGTCTATCTCCGTATCCATAGCCATAACCAAAGCGCTCACTGGATGAATCGTCAAAGTTGAACTCTTCGTCATCCGACTGATGGCGTCGATACTTGCTGTACACGGCTCTGGGATCGTCCTCTTCGTCATCCCAGGAGAGTTCTTCATCTGGATAGTCATTCGCAGGATTATTTTCGGCTATAGTAATTGTTAGTCAGATTTCTCTTTTTCTTTCCTTTGATCTTGAAAAGAGTAGGCCACGAGTTGGTTTCTATGCGACGAGCTCGCTTACCATTGGAATCGCCGTCTTCGCTGTCCCACTGATCTTCATCGTCATCCTCTTCTGCAAAATGCTCCCAGTATTCTTCATCCTCAGGTGTGATGACGATCACACCGATGTCCTGACGACTCGTATCGATACCCTTTTGACGGAACCACTCATCCTGGTTCAGTTCTAAATCTGCTAGTGGGTTCGTAAGCTGTCCTCCGTCCGGCAGAGGACGCCGGATGTACGTATCGTAGACATACTCCCCGTCACTATCGTCATCCTGCCCTGCAGCGGAGGGTAAGTGGTGTAGTGCTGGTGTGGCAGTCTCGGCAGATCCTTCAGGATTCGTCGCCCCTTGCTTGCGTTCTGCAGACCCCGCCACTCGAAGCTTGTTGGGTGTACGAGGAGGATATTTCAATGGAGGCTTGGGCATCACCGAACGAGCCCGCTCGCCAACAGATTGAGGGTCATGTTTCGTCTCCGCGGGCGACACCTCTGTTTCTAATTCCATTTCCCCCTCGAGCTCTAATGCGATTTGCTCGAAATCCCGGGCCAGTCTCTCTGACTCATCTTCCCAGTTGCTGTGGCGTGCTTGGGCCCCTTGTTCGAGCACCTGCGAGATATGCTTTTTGGCAGCTGAGATCGCCCCCTTACGCTCCTCCCTCCATTTTCTCTCGGCCTGGTTCACCACCGGTCTCTTCCGCAGACGGACAGGCTGTTCCTTAGCCACATCGGAGCCGTCATGAGAGCCGACATCATCCGCTCGCACCGCCGCATCAGCCACCAACGACGCCTGCCGTGAATGCGGTTTACGCCGTAGCTTCTCCACGAGCACTGCAACCCCATCTGCTTTACGCTTCTGTACCCCCCCACCGCTGCTCCGGAGGGGACTCATCGGCGTACTTGATCTCGAAATCTGGAATCGTCGCAGCGACTGCGCCCGTGATGGCGAAGACGCCGAACTGCCTCGCGCACTGGAAGCGGATGACAGCCCAGCCGCGGGAGTCTCAGCAACAGCATCACGACCTGGGCTCTCATTGCGAGTACCCCGTTGAGCGGGCCCCGGCGAAGAAATCAAAGCCCTCTTCACCTTCTCCTCGGCTTCCTTTCGAAGGGCCGCAAGACGTTTTTCTTCGCGAAGCTCTGCCCCGGGGGATGTAGCTCTGACCAAGGGAACCCCTCCCGTGGAGCGGTTCGGCACAGCCGAAGATACAGAGGTGCTCACGGAGCGCGGAGTGAGAATAGACCTCTGCGCCGCTGATACGGGTGAAGTACTTGGGGAGCCATTTTTCAGATCCTTGGCACTGACCTGGACTCGCTGGAACACGAAGTCTGTAAAGCGGCGTTTTGTCTGATGTAGATCAGACTGAATATCTGAAGTTTCCTATCAGCTTTTGGTGGGCATTACAGATGGAGGCGTTCCGATGCGGATATACAAAGCGGGGGACTGGGGTTTAGTTTGATCGGTAGAGGCTTGACAGCTAGCAAAGGATCAGAGAAGCTTCTTACATAACGTGTCCACCGGTTCCTCCTCTCGACGGCGTTTGATGCTGATCTGTTCCGGAGGCAATGACATTTTTTGCGGTTTATAAAACTGAGCTTTGCTTGGTATAAATTAGGATTGATGGCGAAGGAGGAAGGGCGACAACGACAATTTAGGATGATCTCCAACATTTCTTCAAGTTCCATGGTTTGGGCTAGAAGGGGCTTAGCGTGCCATCACCCATGTATAAGGTCACGTGATCATTTATTGACTCTTTACTCGATTCGGATGGGCAGCATTTGACCATTTGGCTACTCGAGATACTCGTGGACACGGTGATGACAAGTGTAGATCATTGCTTTTCGTATTTCTTCTCTTATGCTATATTTCTCGATGGCTACTGCCATCGCCATCCCGAACCTATTACCTCCGCACAGCTATATAACCCCTGTCCGTCATCCAATATGCAAAAGGAGCTGTTTGCTCTGGATTAATTCCGTCAAAATGGCATCACATATGCAACTGAGCAGAATAAACATCAAAGAACAGACCAGAGCCAACCAGTCTAGGGTATAGCCGAGATCTCACCCGTCTTCGTAGCCAACTGGAAATCGAAATGGAAACAACCAAAAGAAGAATGGAAGGGGAAAGGGGATCATACCCAGCTAGCAATACAAGGATGGTATAAAAAAGATTATTAAAGGGTGTAAGATGGGTTGGCTGAGAACGAAATTTGCACAAAAATAATAAAAAATGGGAGAGAGGAAAGAGAGAAATACTGTAGATCAAACCAATACAAAGAAAGTAATCAACGGGTGGTGTTTTCAAAACAATAGATGAACATGATGAATAGAAAACGTAAAGTAAAAAATTTTAATAGTTAAAGATGATGCACCCACAAGAATGGAAGAGGAAATTCTCTCAAAATATTAAGATGAAATTATTTGGCTCCGATCTCTTCCTCAGCCCAGCCAGGTAGCGAGTTTTCGTTCTGGATGGCCAGTCCAAACCCGGCATGATTGAGGCCGCCTAGGGCAGATGTGAAGCTGGAGAAGCTACTCTGCGGTTGGTGAGCTACGCCTGCACGGCTATGTCCAGCCTGACCCGAAATAGGACCGAATGGTTCCTGAGAGAAGGACGGCAAGCTGACGGCACGAGAGTGCTGCGCGCGGGGCACGCTTAAGCTGCTGGTGCTGGCGGTGGCATGATGTCCAGGGCCGCTAGAGCCATTGGTAACGTTCAAAAAGCCGTTGGTCGACGGCTTGTGTTGATGCAGTGGTGCTTCGATGCTTCCGTTAGTGAGCTCGCTGGTAGATGCACCGTTGTAGAGGGGCTGTTGTTGAGGTGGCTGGGACTGGGACTGGAGAGCCGCGAGGGAGATAGAGTCGTTCAAGCGGTTCTCTTGTTCTTGAGCTTGCTGGGCGGACATTTGGTTAAGATACATGGTAAGCGGGTTGTTGGACCCCACATTTAACATTCCGGACGGCGATGTAACTGTCTGCAGCGGGTGCCGGACCTGCTGGCCATTCTGAGAACCTGTCGAGCCTGGGGCAGGAGAGAGGGCGGAACGGGTCGGGCTGGACCCGGAGCCAGAATGGCTCAAGTTCTGCTGGAAGCCATTGAGTGCCGGCGAGGGCGACTGCGGGCCTTCCAGTCCGCCGTTGCGATTTTGCTGTCCACCGTTACCCGTCTGGCGAGGCGGGTTGCCACAGCGATCCTTACCAAAGTTGATCTTGAACCGCTTGTACTCCTCCCTGTTCCGCATTCCCTCAATCGCTTTGATGGCATTGGCAATATTGGTAAAGTTCACGAAAGCACAACTTTTCTCGCGCAATGTGTTCACCAGCTCAATCTCTCCATATTCGGAGAAGTCTTGGCGAAGACGTTCCTCCGACCAAGACTCATCGAGATTGCCAACATAGACGTTTCGCGAGGCACCGCCGCTTACAGCCAGGGCAATAGCTGGGGGTAGGGGACCAGAGTGCTTGCCCCAGCCGATCTTTAAGCGACGGTTGTGAATCATTAGTCCCTGGAGGTTACTCAAGGCATAGAAGGAAGCGGCCGAGGTCGGGTCAATGAAGGTAACGAAGCAGATATGCTTGTCGGGGATGTAACGGATATGATGCAGAAGGCCACCGCGCACTACGTTGCAAATCTCTTCAATGGTGGTTTCCGGATGGATGTTGCCCAGGTAGATCGTCCGGTTGCCCAGGTTGTTGACGCCGCCAGCAGAAGTAGCGACGGCTGCAGCTGCGACGGACTGTTGGGCGAGTGCGTTCGTGATTAGGTCCCGATCTGCCGAGTTGAGGATGTGCGCGTACCCTGGCGCGATGCCCAAGAACTGAGCTGCATTCTGTTGCTGTGTTTTGGAAACATATGCACACCGATCCTTACCGTAGAAGACACGCCTAGGTGCCTGCCATTTAGTCTCTTGGGGCAGTTGAGAGACGGCTTTCATCGCGTTGCTGATTGACAGGAAATGTACAAAGCCAATTGCCTTTTCCTTCACAATCTTCACGGTATCAATCGGACCAAACTTCGCAAGCTCTTCGCGCAACTCATCCTCTGTCATCTCCTCTGGCAAGTTGCCTAGGTACACGTTCCGGGACGCCCCCGACTGCTGCACCGCCAGGGCCACTGAAGTGGGAACCTGCGAGGGCTTGCCCCAGCCAACCTTGATGTCATTGCCTTTGATAGCGAGCTTTTTCAAGATAGCATCCGAGTGGAAGTGCGTTGCTGAGTTGCTGTCCAAGAAGGAGATGAAGGCGCAATTCTTGTCAGGGAGCAAGCGTACTGATTCAATCTGACCGCTACGGACATGATTTAAGATTTCTTCGGCCGAAGTTTCCGCCGGAATATTGCCCAGATACACGGTTCGACTTGTACCCGAAAGAAGGCCCGGAGTTACCGACGCGGCGGGACTTCCGAACGCCGCATTACCCAAGCCACCCATACCACCAACCGGTGATTGAGGACCCCCAAGCAATTGGGAGTTTCCCATACTATCCGCAGACATCATACCTGAGTACAGACTGGCGTTCTGCGGGGCTTGTGTTGGGCTCCCCAGCTGGTTCTGGTGGTTTTGCGCGTGCGCCGATGCATTGGCCTGAGAGAAACCACCAAAGTTGGTGAACTGGGGCGAGGCAAAGGCTGAAGGGGTTCCCGGTTGGAAGGGGCTTCCGAGCAGTAGTTGGGACGGCAACAAAGGAGTGAAGTTCATGTCGAACGCGGTGCCCGAGGCTGCCATGGTGTCGGTATTGTTTTGACTGGCGGCGGTATTGATAGCAGGGATATTAGCTCGACGAGCGTTCCGATCTGTCAGACCCTGCAGAGGAAGGTTATTGGAGTTGTATGCTCCGTGGGAGAAACCAGTATCGTCCGCGTTGAGGTGGGAAAACTTGGAAGGGATCAAACGACTCGGAATGCTTGAGGCATCGGAGGTTTGCATGGCGAGGAACACGAACGGTCCGGACGTGATAGCCCCCTAGCTAAGGAAGAGGGGACAAAGTAAATTGGGGCTAATGTGAAATGATCGATATCACCATCCAGGGGGTAAAGGGAAGTGCGAGTCACAACGACGTGGTAGGAATGGTCGGGAGAGCGAAAAGCCAACCGGCGCGAAGATCACCCCCGAAAGGAGAAAGGAGGAAAGGAATAAATGAAGGAAAATAGCGGCCGAAAAGATGGCCGAGTGAAGTCGAATGAAAAGGAGGACGGAGAAAAGAATAACAATAAAGAAGCCTGAATAAGGAAAGGCCACTTGAGACGTGTCTAGAAAGAGGTCCAGCGGTCAATTGGAATGTGCATTGGACAATGTTCGGTGGAACGGTGACAAACCTCTTAGTTGGTGTTTTAGGGGCTCCGGGTGAACAATCCCCGTAAACAAGACCAACTTGTCAATTGAAGAATTGAAAGAAGAAGGGGAAAAAAAAAGAGAGAGAGAGAGAGAGAAATATGATAATAAGAAAACAAAAATAATAATAATATAACTGGAGAAATAAGTAGTCAATTGAAATTAAAAGAGAAGTTGATCAAGCAATCAAAAGGGAAATAGAAAAACACAGAAGATGGATAATTAAGAATATGGTCTAGTTAATTGAAAGAATAAGGATGAACCCCCAATTGCAGCACCCAAGAAGTGTTGTTCCAAAGGGAAAGGCCAAAAAAGGACCGATGGGGGACATCCACTGAGAAAAGCTGAAAAGGGAAAAAGTGGAACTGACAAAGAGAAATGAATGAGAGAATATAATAATTGTTAATAGTCTCGCAGAGGCGGAGGAGAGAAAAGACAGTGGAGGAGAGGAAAAACTACGGGCCCCCGAAAAAAGGGGTTGTTCGTAGCGTGAGATGAACTTGATAAGAGACTATATGAGTGACAGCGCACACTTTCTTGCTCTCGCGCTCTCTCTTTTTTTTCTTTTTACGTGTTTCTTTTTCTTTCTTTCTTTCTTTCTTTCTTTCTTTCTTTTTATCGTCTCTTTTCCTCTTCTCCCAAAGGTTTATTCAGCATGCACTGTATACCTAGCAAAGTCAATCTTACCCACGACAGGAAAGAACATAAATTCACTTAAAAGATATTCAAGTCAATAAGAAGAAAATTAAATGGATACAAAAAAAATGGCAAATTTACTAGTATATAGCAACGAGCGTGGAGAAGAAAAGGAAGTAAGATTCAATAATACTCAAGTAAGACGAGCATTAATCAAAAAGAATGCTGAAGAGTGGATGAAGGGGTAAAAGGGGGAAAGTGAATAGTGAACCAAACATCAGGCAAGAAGGCTGGAATAATAATAGAAATTAATGTCCCTGTGGAGTGAAGATTGACATTCGTACCTGACTGGTTGAGTAAAGCGTCCCCAGAGCCGATGGGGAAAACCACAAATCTCCCTCCGCCAAGGGAGAGATATCATTCTGTTAGTTAGACCAAAAGCTGCAATTCATCTTGCACAAAGATCCTCTCTGCCAATAATATCGGATCATCGTGTCCAGGCGAAACATCTTTGTTGTTTCGTCGAATATCCCTCAAGACTATCCGTGCGGTTGTCACAAGGCTGTGGCTGACACAGCCTAAAGAAGAGAAAGTGTCACTCATGTTGCTAAGTAGCAGTACGATGATGGTATCAGCCACCTGTGATCCTGATGTTGGAATGCATCCTTTAATGTAATATTGCCGTGTGCCATTACTGATTCAGCTCAATTATCAGACAAGAGTGGACTGAGAGATCGTAGTACTGTACGGAGTACGTAGAAAGTTGAAACATCTCCCATACTGTGCATCTCCATCCATCACGGACTCTGGATAATTGAGTGGAGTCGGTTTCTTTGGATGAGGAAAGGGAGGCTCTTGCCACATGGAAGAACTAATGATCCGCTTCGCCTGCAGAAACCATTACGTCTTGGCATCCACCATGTCTTGTGCTTCCTTGCGTACTCTGGATGTAGTACTTACTACTACGTACTTAGTGGTGACTCCTGTGGATACCATACCTTGATACCACTTGATATTAAGGAGGCAATTGATTATTGATCTGCATTCAACGTCTAGGTTTCGATCTATCTAGTCAGTTTCATCGCCTGTCCGGCGTTTTCAATCCATCAATGAATTGTTTAAGGAAGATTTACCGAGGTCCGCATTTTCCTGGATCGTAATTTGTTGTTCAGAAACCTTACATGTCCAGCTTTCCTAGCCACTTATGGAACTAGATCACCGTCGTCAATGGCTCATATCTTGGATAAATACGGAGTACGTACGGAGTAGAGTGGCGAACAGAAGTTTATCGCTCTTTTAATAGTTATTGACATGCTTTTTTCTCAAGTCTTGACGAACATCCGAAGGTGTTTCATTAGATTAAACGTCTAATGCTAGACCAGTAAGGGCAGAATATGTATGATGTACAGAGTAGTACTTGAGTACGATTTAAAAAAGATAAGCGGATACATCTTTTCGGCGGTGCTTTGTAGATTAATCTTGATTAGCATGAATCACGTATATAACTTAATACAAATCAAGCTGGGCGACAAATTGTTCTTGATGCATATTCAACCTGAGCCTTACAGATTAGGCATAATTAATGCCCCAGGCATAAGTGGGGGAAGACTTTCCCGCGGCAGGTCGCATTCAGATTGGATCCAGAAATTTACCCCTCCAGGCGATTTAATCCAAGCACTGTGCGACTCGGCATCTTCACTTCTCACTTTGGGGTAATTGTTACATAGTCTCTATTGGCTGGACTAGGTAATTGTCACCTGTGAGTCTTTTATTTCACTCCCCCAATTTGTTTTTCTGCTCTTGATCATGGTGCACCTTATCTATACTAGTAGTGTGACTCACATGCCCAAAATAAAAACTAATTTAATATTCTCCCCGCAGTACGGCCCTCACCCACACTCATTCCTTGGACAACGAGTCAGATAGACAGCCAGTGATCATGACTACCATCTATATCGACGAAGACGTCGGTAGGGACGACTCTACCGCGACCGGATCTGAATCCGCTCCCTACAAGACGCTTGTGCATGCTTTCCTGCAGCACGCTCCTAGCGAAGGTTTTCAATATCTGACGCGCAAGTCCCAGACCGAGCCCGCCGATAAGGATGTCGACAAGCTGGAGTGGAAGCCGGCCACCAAGTCGGCGATGAAGAAGGCCACCAACCTCTACGAGCAACGGAAAAAGAAGGCGGCAAAGGAACAGGAATTGGCTATCCGTGAGAAGCAGGAGGCGGAGAAGCGCCGTCTCGTCCTGGAGGAAGCGAAGAAGATCATTATCAAGGAGGACCCCTCCCTCCCTAAGCCGGTCAGAATCCGCCTTGATGTGACTGACCCAGCCGTTGTCAAGCTTGGAAGCCCGGAGTCGGAGGGTCCTGGTACTCGTGTCCGCGTGCTGGGCAGAGTTCATCGCCTTCGAGCCCAGAAGGATGTCGTTTTCCTTACCTTGACAGATGGTTACGGCTACCTCCAATGCATCCTAACGGGAGACATGGTCAAGTCCTACGATGTTATGACTCTTACTCTCGGAACCTCCATTTCCATTCATGGTGAAATGCGTGCCGTCCCACCTAAGCAGCATGCCCCCAACAACCGTGAACTTCACGCAGACTTCTTCACTATCATCGGTCGTGCCGCCGGTGACAAGGAAGCCATCACCACACGAGTCGCCCCTGATGCCGACCCGCAAACCCTCTACGACAACCGTCATCTTGTCCTTCGTGGCGAGACCGCTTCCGCTGTCATGAAGGTGCGCGCAGCAGCTCTTCGGGCATTCCGCAAATCTTTTGAGGAGAACCGCATGCTGGAAGTGACCCCTCCCGCAATGGTGCAAACGCAGGTGGAGGGTGGTAGCACCCTGTTTAAATTCGACTACTACGGCGAGAACGCCTATCTCACTCAGTCTTCCCAACTGTACCTGGAAACCTGTCTCCCATCCTTGGGTGATGTCTTCTGTGTTTGCCCGTCATTCCGCGCCGAGAAGTCCCTTACTCGTCGACACTTGTCAGAGTATACTCACATCGAAGCCGAACTTGACTTCATCACCTTCACCGATCTCCTGGATCACTTAGAAGCTGTGATCTGCCGTGTCATTGAATTGATCCTGGCCGAACCTGAGACCGCAGCCCTCATCAAGCAACTCAACCCCGACTTCAAGCCCCCCAGCCGTCCCTTCCGCCGCATGAAGTACTCTGATGCCATCCAATGGCTCATCGAGCACGAAATCCCCAACGAAGAAGGCAAGCCCCACCAGTTCGGTGATGACATCGCCGAGGCCGCCGAGCGCAAGATGACCGACATCATCAACCAGCCCATCTTCCTCACCCACTTCCCCGCTGATATTAAGGCCTTCTACATGAAGAAGGACCCCGAAGACCGCCGTGTCACCGAGAGTGTCGACGTCCTCATGCCCGGTGTCGGTGAGATTGTCGGTGGCAGTATGAGAATGGACGACTGGGACGAGCTCATGAACGCCTATAAGCATGAGGGCATGGATCCCTCCCCCTACTACTGGTACACTGACCAGCGCAAGTATGTTCCCTTCCATGCGTTAATACCTCACATAACTGATACTAACTTCTTCGTTAAAGGTACGGTACCTCCCCCCACGGTGGATATGGGCTCGGTCTCGAGCGATTCCTCGCCTGGCTATGCGCCCGTTACACTGTCAGGGATTGCAGCTTGTATCCTCGCTTCACTGGCCGTTGCACACCTTAAAATATCCAACACATTAGATGAGTCCCATAGATGTCAACATCTCAATGCAGACCCACTTCTTCTATTTATTTGAATATCCAGTAGTTCGTGGGTAGGAAATCTTTTGATGAGATGTAATGACCATAACCGCAATTCAAACAAAACAAAAAGAAGGAATAATTCTATGAAGACAAAGATCACCAGCAGTTGATCCATATAAGTGAAACTAAGCAATACCGGCAGGTAAGAAGATTGTGATTGAAACTAGACCATGATTATTCCGATAAGTCAACGGCCGTCACATGGATTATTCTACCATATCACACGCATTATAGCTACTCAACGCTTATAGCTTTCAATCTGATCCCTCCCTTCAACAAGAACAGCCACTTGCGTCATCCCCAGGGCGCTCTATCTGGGAGTTTAAATGCCCATGTCCGCTACATGGCAGTGTTCTTCGTGACCACAGGATGCTATATTGTTCAGACCGTTGCGATCGTGTGGATGGCGAACAACCTCGATGGGCATTATAAGCACGCTGTTGGCCTTGCCATTCAGGTAGGATTCGGTGGCATTATAGCGAGCAACATTTTCAACAGGGGTGACGCCCCTCTGTACACTGTTGGATATGGAGTCTCATTGGCCAGGACGGTGTTTTGTGGGATTATGAGTACAATTCGCGCCGCCGGCCTGTTGATTGAGAATAAAAAAAGGGACTAGAAAAAGTGTGATGATAGATTGCAACTGGGTGATGACGATCCTCGATTCCGTTTCAGCCTGTGAATGAGGAGGAACTTGAAGTCCCGGTCAGGCATATACTCTCTCAAAAGCAGAATCATGATGATAGGTCCGTTTGTTGTTCTCGAAAGCCTTAGGAGTGAAATCTCTTCTCAAGTAGATAACCTTAATGCACTCTTGCATGGCTCACTAACTGTGCTAGGAAGAGTACCTCCATTCAGGATGAAGCATTGATCAAAGCTTAAGTGGCTCTACAAACCCACGTGAAGAAGATTACAGAAACACCCGATACCCAACTATAGTGGTTCTCACTTGTTATGCCGGACAGAAGGCAATAAGGAAAAGAATAGGTGCAGGTGAATGTGCAAGGTTAAAGTCCTACTAGTAGTGCTTTGAGTATTCATAAAGCCCATCAGCCTCATACGGGTGTGGCGTCCCTTCCCCTTCCAGCAACAAACCTCCTCCATTATTACAAACTACGACAGCGAAGTGACGATAGTAACGATTATCATCATTCTAGCCACTTAAGATTGCTGTTGCAACTACATCGGACCTCCTCTTACATTTAATAACAAGGTGATATTATAATAACACCAGCAGTCATTTAAACATGCGTTTATATGGCCAGTCATCCAACTCGCCACACGATTTTTGAACAATGGGCCAAATGAGATTCGGAGCTTTGTGCCGAAGCAAAATTCCAAGGATCCTTCAAAAACAAAGACACAACCAGTCTGATTAGTTCTGTATGGTCTATGGAGGACTTCTTCCTGACTTAGCAGGAAATCTCTCATTATCCGACCTGGATATGGTACTCGGCAAACACATATACACCATGACCTGAGTGGGATTAATATCTCTCGTAGCTGACATGCTGCGGCTACGTCATACTCACCGACGCCTGCATCATGCACCCACGAGATGGCCAGTCATGGCAGGGAGCAGCAATGATTGAACCATCCGTGTCCAGGCATATAAATTCAATGAAATGAAGCGACTCCGGGCTGATTACTATACACGGTGAAAGTAACTGCATAGTAATGTGGAAAATACCAATTAAACATGGTAAACGGTCAGCTGAACCAGGAAATGGGAAAGTATCTGGGACAATCTCCACTTCCAACTGGATACCTAACACGGGACTAGGAAGTGAAGAAGCAGACAAGTCAACTAAGCGGCATATCCACCTCAGGGCCATGTGCATGACGCTATCCGGAGGTTGACTTCAGCATCTTATCACCATGTATTCATCCAAGGCAGCCTTTCAATCCCAACGGCCGAGACAACGACATCACAAGATGACGATAGCAGAGACAGGCAAGGTGTAGAGTCATTGCAACGTATCAGCTTTCACCATGTTTGTCATCACTATTAGGATCCCGTGAAACCATTTTCCCTGGAGTGGTTGTTTCCATTCTGCATTTGAGAAATCGCCGCAAGGATCTCTCGTTGGGAGGCACCAGAACGGATGATAGTGACTAATCGGGCTACCGTCTCTTGATCCTCATTGCAAACCAAGTCCAGAAGTTGTTCGAGAAAACTTCTGTAGTAATCCGAATCCTCGGCATATCTAGTAAGGAGTAGGGGATCTGTGTTCGGAGTCTCGTAACTAGAGGCTTGAGCACTATCACTGCTTTGGTTGTTCGAGCTGTGGTTGTTCGAGCTGGAGTTGTTCGAGCTTTCGTTATTGGAACTTCGACCATTGGAACTGCGATGTGAGGTTAACACATATGTGCGATCACAGTTTCTATACTGCAAACCGATTACCTCTGCTCCGAGTTGTGAATGTTCTGACGGTTCATTATGCCGTGTAGTTCGCAGTTGTGGCTGCTTGTTTAACTGGGGGTCACTAAATGCTCGCTCGGCAAACACGCGGCGCATACGAAGGCGTGGCAGGTTCGAATACAGAATCAGACTCAAAGGGAAGGCGACAAAATTTGGCCTTTATTTTGATGCGAGACAGTGGTGCACGGAGTCAGGGTTGGTTGGCGGACGTGTCTAAGCGAGAATCGTGGCTGCAGTTATGTCAGTACATCTGGCGTGCAGACGTCGCTGGTGGACACAAGCGAATCTTATACGTCCTAGGGGTATCACAAGGTGGTTAACGAGGATAAAATCGTTCCCCACTCTTAAGGCTCTATGGGTATGAAGGTAGGAAATGGTAACTCAAAAGGAAAAGCAACCAAAATGTGAAAGGAGAAAAAGAATTCTTTTCAGATTGAATCACGCCACAGCATCATCTAAGTGATTTGCTCGACACCGTCTTGAGGCACCATAAACCTCCAAGAACTCAGCATGGCGATAAGAGCCAGTTGTGTCTCCTTTCTGTCTAGGTGGCTAAAAATACGGCCATCGCCAGTGGTCCATCCAGCTGACCAGATGCGGGATCTCAACGATTTGTTTCGATTTGACGGCCCAAACCACCCTGCATGCCACTCCAAGCTTCCGCAGTACCCCTACCAGGAAGGACGGGGCAACGGGCTAGAAAAGAGCCAGCCAGTAGTCTGGAATGCCCTCGGCAGCACTGGGGGAGACAATGAGAAAAGAGCGATGACTTCAACCTATGATTAGTTGGGGCTATAGGGGCCTCGGAGAAAACTGCCAGCCAATCTCATGACTTGTTTTTCGTCTCCGCCACCGATTCTCGGGAAGCACTCTCGCTCATCCGGCCCATCATAACGGATCTATGGCTTAAAAGCTTGAACCCACCCTTATTCGCTGAAGTTTGTTGAGCGTGTATTTTCCTTCTAATTCACCAAATCATGATCGAGTTGCATAGTCAGGAAAAGACTTACGGGATCAGCGACTCGCGCATGACCTCCCGTCACCCACTTGCCATTACCATGGGTAGGCAATGGTCAGACATGGTCCAAGCTAATCAAATGCCCTGAGCGTCTACAGGATAGACATTTCTACATGAAGATGGTTGCTTTGTTCTTCATTCTCTTCCTCGGTGAGGCCTTGGCGCGAATTTGCAAGCACTCCCTTTTGCCTGATCGATGAACGAACGGACCGAGTGTCCCATGGAAACAACCCAGTCCCATCGTGTTCGTGCTGTACCGATCAACATCACTCCGCTCGAAGGATCCCATATAGCCTGCTCGTCAGAGAAGCCAAAGTCAAAGCCGCGTCCGAACCCTACGCAGCCTGGTTGAAAATAAATGCCACCTTGAATCTTGCCCGACTTGATTCCGCGTTTCTGTTTCGAGAAAAGTGCAAAATCCAGACTGCGGAGACTACGACTGCATAAATTCGGCAACCGCCACGCTTCCCATCCCGAACGCGTAACGGCCTCGAATAACACAAGCCTGTATCAACCACTTTCAAGCTAGTCATCATAGTGACGATACCACCCGTATAACGCTGGGCTTGGGGTGTGAGAAGGTCGGGATATGCCATCTTATACTTGTATGCCAGTTTGGAGTTCCTGTGTCACCATACCCATGTAAAAATTGGCGTTCTTACAGACTCAAATCGCACCGGCCTCCCAAGATACAACTCGTTTCTATCTCGTCCGATTTTCGCCACTTCTCATTTGGTGACCGAATCGCATGTTTTGGCCTGGTGCGTGGTTAGCATTTGTCTGATCGCTCTCGTTCAATAAAGGCGAAACTTGCAATGGTCAAGCATACATACTCATGTTGTCGTTCAAAGCCTCCATTACTGCGTCCGTTGTCTCCAGTATTTTGCTGTGTTCGTGATTAGATAACGGCGGCATAGGCTGGACTACCCTCGCGTCCAAGGGAGCTCCTAAACGACTGTGATCTGCTCGGCATACGTTCAATAATCTGGGTTTCAGGCGAATTTGCAAAATTCGTGGCAGTTGTTAGACGCCGCTAAATAGATCGATACGCTTTACCCGCCTAGGGTCTATCGACCTCGAAAACTATCAGAACGATTGCCTCGAGCGTATAAGATACCAGTGTTCTGTTGCAGAATAGAATAATTTGGAAATGCAACTGGCCGGGAGCCTGACCTTCGCAAGCTATCTGCAAAGTGCTCAAGAGGTATTGTCTGCGACTTCCCACTTGCTTCATCACCATCGCAGTTTTTTGGTTGCATTGGTGGCTGGGGATACGGAGGATTGCAAGTTGATGCTGTCGCTTCCCGTCTGTGACCAAGGTGTTTACTGCAGCAAGGAACCGAGGATTTCAACCACGTCATTATCCAATGGTCTAGGGGCAGTCATAGTCATGGTGGCAGCCAAGGCATAAATATAGCGCCCTTCAAAAAAACCCAAGCGCCTTCTTGGTTCCCCATGGACTTCTGTCATATACTCGCGTCCTGCAGTTGGTTTTGACTAACCGGTACATTGACAATAAGCAGGCGGCGAGGCTTGAGTAATTAAACATGGTTATAAACCAACCCCTCCGTCCCTCTCCACCTGAAGGGAATGGGAAGTATCCATGGAGAAAAAACAGGACGGAAGCATCTAGTAACTCGATGCGGAGTGGCACCAATCAGGGTCTTTCTTAGGAAGGAAAAATCATCCCGGTGATTTTATTGGAACTCCACTTGACGCTCGCCCATGTGCTCACTCAGGGGAACCTTGGGTTATGTAACTCTAAGTCACCTACTTGAGAACTTGATCGCAGGTCAAGATTCTGGGCAACCTGATCAGGTGATTTGGTAACTATCAGTCCTGTGGCTGGCGCCCGTCAGAACTACAGCATGGAGCCAGTGGCCCGGCAGTACGGAAACAACTGGGCCATCTAATGGCGGTGGTTACCTATTAAAGGCCACATTCAATTAGCTGGCTGGTGGTTCAAGGAAAAGGGTCCATCAGAATGTCTGCATCAAAGTCAACATTGCTGGAGGAAACGCTACCCCCTGAACTTAGAAAATGTGACGACGTTTCAGCGTCAGTGGCGAGATGGGGTGTTAGGATATCCACCGTTCGGAGAATTTTGCAATTTCGTTCGAGGAACGCCTTGATTCGCCGCAGTCAGCGGATCTAACATCATGGGACAATGCACGTAACACTCATCATAGTCGACCGAGAGACGTACTATGATGGGGTTGTAATGCAACACTGCCCTTCTATCTGGTTTAAGCATCGACTTGGATGGGGAATTTGTGTACCGTCCTGTGACAGGGAAGAGCCAAAGTAATATATGTTATACCTGCCTACATCTACTGATTTGTCATGTTTATGTTCAGCGACGTTATGACGGCAGCATAGCTATATGCCAAAGCTCGTTCGGGAGCATGTCCTTCCAAGCAATTCTGAAAGGTGTCAGCCATCCGCTCGCTTGGAAATTATATCCGGCCGCAGTAGAGCTTTTGAGTGGCATTCGGCCGGCATCTGCTCCTTGGCTTTGTTTTGGTTGCGATGAATACCACTTGTCAAATACTATGACAGAAATATATTCCTCGCTCGCCTTCGTCTGCCATTAATAGATGACTCTTCAGAAGCATCCAGCGTACTGTCAGTGAGTGTGATGTTTACTAATTGCAACTGCCTAACTACCCGACTCCCTCGGCACTCATAACGGGAGGCGCGCTAGGTACGGTCAGATTTAACACCTATTGAGCATAGCGTTGCAACCTTACGCCAAGGCCTCACTGCATGGATCATTCATTCACTCCACTCCATGAGGTGTACAGAGTAAAGCCGGGGAAGAATTCAATCACCAAAAGTAACCTGGTGAATATGCCAATCCCAACACGAGGTTCTCCTATGGAAACCATTATTCTCAAGGCGGTTAACAATATCTCAACAGTATTTACGACCTGGCGTGTTGACCGAGGGTGCATGAATCTGCCAGGGAAAGGAAACCAAAGGGGACCAGCTTGAAAGCAACTCATTAGCCGCGATATTTTTTTCAAATTAGAAGTTAGTTAAGACTATGGACAAGTATCAATACCCCGTTCTGTTGAACTGTAAACTGTTTGGTATAGATAGAGATACACATCGAAAACCCTACATCAAATGTTGGGGTTAGCAAGTAAGGAGCGACAGCAGGGCAGAACTGAACCGACCATCGATAGTATTTCCCACCCAATATCTCCTGTGACAGTCTCTCAAGGAGTGGTAGGCTTTGCTTACACATAAAACGTCCCGTTTTGACACGCCCTTGACAGGGTCTCCCTTATGCTCATGTCAGGTCCACCTAAACCAATGGACAACGCCCAGTTTCATATAAACAATCGCTTCCCTTATCCCTGTCAATCCCTACTTAGAATCCCTCAGTAGACACTGGTTACAATATTACAATCCTAATCATTCATAATTCATACCCTCGACCTGATCGTCCCTACATACATCATCTGTATATTACTTCAAAGAGTACAGAGAGTGGGCAGTTCGAAATCATAATACTTTTATCCAATAAAAACGAAAGAAAAAAGAAAGAGAGAGAAAGGAGAGCATGTTTGTTTATTATCCACATGCTTCAAACACGCTCAAATGCCAGACACAACATCCCGTTCACGCGCAATCTCAAACATTCCTCACGCCAACCTAGTTGATACACCCAATGAAACCTCCATCAATCCTAGAAACAACTAAACTTTTGTCCACACCCTCCCCATTCCCTCCCCATCCAAGGCCAACCTAGCAAGGTTCCCTCCCCACCCCCTTGCATATCACCAGAAAAGAGATATGCGTGCTTCTTTAAAAGCATGCATCGCACTTACCTGCCAGTAGTTAAAGTATCCTACACAACCTCACACATATAAAATATCTCCTCCTTATATCTATAACTACCTTCTTAAGAATCTAATTGAACATACACGCACCCTTATCCACACCACCTCTACAGAAGAAAACAGAGGGCGTGAATGCCGAAGAAAGCAACCAAAGAACGAAAGAGAAAATACCTACCCAGACCAATCAACCGTAATCCCAAGATGAAGTTCAGCAGCCGTCTCTCTGCCAGCTACATCTCCACCCTCTGCCTTTTTGTCACAGGCATCTACGGCCAAGTTGCCGAAAGATCCAATGCAATCGATACAGGGAATACTGTTTGTGTAGGGGCTTGCGTGACGAGCTTACATGAATTGAGATGCGATACTCCTACCGTGCCCTTGGTATGTGAACACCCCTTTATATTTATTTTTTATTTTATTCTATATAATGTTTCTCCTGTCTAAGATGGTACATAGAGACCATGGACGCTAATTGGTTTGGTTGTATATAGTTCCGACCAGGGAAAGAGTGCTTCGCGTGCTGTATTTCGGATGACCATGCAGATGATTGGGCAGATCATATCAACTGGGGAGATGAGGAGGAACATCCAGAGGAGAAGTCGCGATCAGGCCACTGATTGACTCGGTTGGTTTTGGGTGGAAACTACATGATTGATTGGGCTTCAACATTGTTACCCTTTTTTTTTTGGTTCTCTTGGTTATAGGGACATTGATAATATCAAATTCGAGGGTTCAAGGAATTGTCATTCGGGGAATGATTGTGATGAATACAGTTGTATATTCAGACTTTGCATATTGAGGAATATTAAGGGATTGATAGATGATGTTTAGATTTCCTTTTCCTTGTTGAGAAGATATATTTGATGTTCTTGGTGTTTACTAACACTAACCATCGTCATAAGAGATATCTTACATGTAAATCCTTTACGACATAACCTCCTTCTGGACATTTGAATAGAGAAAAGGTATGTTGATTTGAAAGTAAAATCATTTCAATTCGTGTGGTACGTAGTACTACATCACATATACTGCAATGTATGCACGGCTTATCAGGACGTGGTAACCCTAACATAACCCTATCTACATGTATACTCTGTAGAACACGGACAGTCCAATGAGTTCATGGATACAAAAATAGGTACTAGATAAGCTGCTGCTAACAATACCTATAAAAAGGCTCTCTTTATTGGTCCCAGTCCAACCTTTACCAAGCCGCTCCTTGTTTGGTTCTGCAGCCGACATCAAGAGGTATTGATAGGGCCCACGGTATAGGAGCCTTATGGATCTTGAATGGAACGAGGCTTGGCCTTTATTTTTAGCACCCAAGATTAAGCGCATGATTTGCAAAGAATCACCCGAGTGGGTCTAATTATAGTCTATTTGCCTCTCCTCTCACTCTCTCTTTTTTTTTCCCTCTCTTTTTCCGTTTTTCTCTTTTATGATTGAAGGCGTATGTAATGATGTCAATGTCAAAGGCAAGCGGAAATCTTAGTACATACTTTATCAGCCCTAGAACTACGATCACACATTATCACATGGACACTGCATGAAAAATTATTTTTGCTATACTCTATCTATGTAGCCTATTCGCCCAATGCTTGTCTTAGCCTGCGCTATTAACATCTATTCCATGTGATTCGCTGAATCCTGAATGCAAAGATAGAACTACCATGTCCATCATCGTCCGTAACGTCATGTTCCTCGCTTGGTTGGAGATCCCGTTGACTCCTTGAAAAGCATACGCAAGTCTTAAACCCAAAAAAAAAAGATAACTATGATCCAACTATTCCCGTAACACCCAGATTCACGCGCCTTACAATGGCAATAACGTCACTTAAGCCCCATTGAAGACAGCAGCAATCCAGAAACCCACAGGGATTCTTATTGCGGGCGTACAGGCGTGTGGAGGGGCACGCTACCCGAGATCCTGACGGTTGCGGGGCACTTGTCATTGTGGTCCCCCCAAAGCCCACTGCTTGCTGGGAAAATGGATCCCCCATTCATGTCGACAGTAGAGTCCCCAACACGAACCCCCATGTGAGGGACAACTAGCTCAACGCCCTTCACGCCATTAGCACTGCCCGAGAAGTAGGATTTGCGGCGTGGAGGCAATGGACGGTGGGCCAGCTCGTTCAGGTAGCTGTCAGAAGCATTGCTGCTGAAAGAAGACGCCGCAGTAGATGGGGTATGCGTCAGCGATGGAGGAGCACCCGTACTACCCAAAAGCGTGAACAAACTGGCTGAGCTGCGGTGTTCAACCCTGGGACGGCGCATCGGGACGGGGGCAGAGCCGCTATGGAATTGGGACAGATACTGCCAGGCTTCCGACGAAGCCGGCGGGGCTGAACCATTGGTACCCATTGGTATTACCGGCTTCCATTCGGACGGATCCTGATCCGTCTTGGAGTCATGGAGCTCACCCAGTATCCGGGTGACCTGGGTCGATGTGATAGGAGCTTTGGTGGGAGTCATAGGTGGTACAATGGTTCGGGGAGACATAGGAGGAGAAGACGGGGGAGTGGTGGAAGATGGCATGGTGTGAGTCGATGTGAAGGAAGCTGAGAGTGGTTTATGGGAGTCCTTGCGACGGCAACTAAAGAGGAAGTGTGAGTAGAGAGGTTGTTTAAGTAAATCGGGGCAGGGGATAGATTAGGGGGAGGGTCCTTCGGGATATAAACAGAAGACAAGGGGGCTGTGCCAGGGTAGAAGAAGATAATATCATGATAAGGCGAGAAACATACCTTTCACTGCAATAAAGGCGAGAATTGTCCGGTACAGTAATCTGTCTCTCGCACATGGCACTGCAGAAATGGGTTAGCTTCGATTCCAGATAAGCCAAAGCTTCCAAAATGCAAGGGGAGAGCTAGGTGGTAAGGTCAAGGAAAAAAGGAATCATGAGCTCATCGACGGATTAGAGATCAACTAGACATACCAAAAATTGAGAAAACTGGCCGCCATCTCGGATTGACAATCGTTATCTGATTCACTATGCCTGGCGTGTCCTGCACCCAGCTTCGAGATGGAGTGATTCACAAAGGATGTGCCTTTCCGATGTAGTGCCGGCCGGACTGTTCTCAGCTTCGAGGCACACGAACCGGAAGGAGAACGTCGATGGTGAAAAGAAAAGTTGCCTTGAGTCATGGATGGCGGTGAGAAATTTACGTATAAATATATTATGGACCACAGATATATCTGGAATAGTTCAACGATGGGTACCTTGCGCCAAAGGACGCCGGGTCCAGCGGTGGAGCACTGTCTCCCCTGAGGGCAACAAAGTATGAGGGATTTGCGGCTAGCAGGGGGGCGATTGAGTAACTCGTTGGAACAATTGTCTCAGACCGCCGTTGTATTGCCAAAGTAATATTTTCCCAGTTGATCTCGTTATTTTTTTTTTCTTAATTTTCTCTTCTGGAAAATGATGTGCGATGGCGAGTCAATCAATCAGGAGGAATGCTGAGGGAGTACAAGATCTGAGCGATTAATATTGTGACCAGCCCAGTTAGCAATGAGGCAAATAACCACCCAAATTCTTCCGTATAATCAGCGATAAGCTTTCCTGGGACTTTTTATCTGTGGTGGCGCATTAAATAGTCAGATAGGTCATAACCCGAATAAACGGTAATACACGGGGGTTGATGGTTGTTATCATGGGTCTCTGAGTGGGGAGAGATAAGAAAAAAGAATGAAAGCGAATAGATAGAGATAAGTACTAACAGCGATAGGTAACATACCTCGGAATCTCTTTTCTTGGGAATTTGATGTTTCTTCTTTGTTTTCCCCCCTGGTTACTGTTCGTTTTGTTTCTGGTATCTTTTGAGATGTCTTGATTCTTTCTGTTGATCGAATGTTTTGTCGAAAGGCACGTGCAAATGAAACAATTTTGGGAGTACTAATGATCTGTAGTACGACGATGCGGCATTAAATGATATATGTCAAGTTGCAGCCGAGGAGGGAAATCACTCGGGGGATAAACACCAACAGGGTTGGTATGAGAAAGGGATGCCGAAGGAAGAACTCGTCGACCACGGGTATAAGGAAAGAGTGATGCGGATGCGTATATATGAATCAGAGATAAAAATAAACCCAAATATCCGGCGATGGCGGTTATGTACACCGTTCAAATAGCCAGAGCACGAGAAGAGAACAGAAAAAGAGAGACATGGATAATATAATTGGAAAGGGAAATAGGCGGAATTCTAGAACTTTGGGGTTTCTACCTGTGAAGAAAAGCCGGAATTAGCGCTGAATCATTGGGTCCATTAAAATGATCTGTTTTCCATTGAAACAGTGGAGTTTAGACTCCGTACAAAATGGAAGGGGTCCCCAGAGGAGCTGACGTGACCCGAGCACGTCACAGCGAAAAGAAAAGGAGTCACGCCATTTGGGGAAAGGTCTAGACTGCCTGGCGTGCCTGAGGCAGGACCTCCAAACGCGCAATCATTCCATGAAAACGACATAAATGTAACGATAACCACTGCTTACCTCACCACTGATGTTCCACCTTAATTCATTGACACAAGGTTGTAGTACTATGTATAGTAGGTAGGAGGAAGGGGGATGTCCACTGTGTCCAGGTTTCCTATAAATAGGTGGAGTGTCTCTGTATCGGGTGGAGAAGAAGCTTGAGAAGTTGAACCTAAAAGGAAAGTGACACTCTCCAGTATGTACATACAATTCTGTGGTCCTTTCTGCCTAGTTTTATATGACCCAGGAGAGGGGTTCGATCAAAACGCAATCAGGAAAAGAATTTGATGGTCTGTCTATAGCCCCGATAACAAAGTCCATCGGCTAGTGAGAATCCCCTCCCCTCCCCTCCTATTCTTGCTACATCACAACTAAACCGTCACCGTCATTTTGTCCACGGTTCCAGTAGGGGATGTGATGATATTTTTCTTTTTCCCTTACCCGACCGAAGCACGCTTATCGGATTAAGGAGGACATCAAAGGTCCAATCATGTCACTCACGTTCGGATGGCCTGTTGCTTGGCCTTGATGCGTATGTGACGCGGGGCCACCACTCTGTACTTCGGGCATCCATGAATGACTCCATATCGATCAAGGTCCGTCTCTTGACCCTCAGCTATGAACAACACTCAGCCGGGCCCACTCCGCCTGTTCTAGCCAAGTCAGACAGGCTGAGGCAAAAAAGGCATTGGCTTTACGTACATGCATTCCATGTGGACTGCATCCAGAACACTATAGTAAGCGGTGTCTGCAGTATCTGAGAACCCGTGCGCTAGGATCAACAGCCTTTCAGATCCAATGATTCCACCATATGGCACATGGTTTCGCTCAGGTACTCGCATATCGAACTACCCATCCTTGTTCAAACAAGGAAGTGTGGACTATGACGATTTTTTATCTCTTTCTTCCTTGTGCCTTTTTTCTTTTTCTTTTCTTTTTTTTTTTCCTTCCTTTCACTTTTCCGTATGACGCTATAAACTACCTTGTAGTTGAAAAGAGAAGGGAGGGGGAAAGAAAAGAACATTAATGGCTCCTGATTGTTTTGAGGCAATTTGTCCGTATCGCATACGGATCTTTGCCCTATTGGACAGTTCAAAAAAATCTAGGCCACACTTCATTGTGACTTTTCCAATACCCCAACCGGAATAAAAAGGGCTAGCAGTATCTTCTCACATGTACTCACCATATTTTTCTCAACGGTTATCCACAATGGTAACAAATATCGTGGCGAGCGAAAATTAAAACAATAGAAGGCGGGGCAACAATGGCGGGGAATAAATGAAGTCGATGATGAACAAGAAACGTATACGAATACCTCATAGTACTCAAGTGGGAAACCCATTAGGTGCTAGATTTTGCATAATAATATGACATGTCCTGGATCCAGCTGTGGACCTTTTTATTGACGAATAAACATTGTTCCACTGTTGCGGAAGATCCATTTTCGACGTTCAATCACATCAATTTGATCAACAACGGAGACGAATTCCCACTCCTGTCCCGGGGATCGTCTTCATTCCTGCCTTACGAAAAAATTTCCCAAAACAAAAGACTTCTAGACTCTCTTCCAGACCAATGCTTCCAAAAAGGTCCATGGTGGGTCGTCGTTATTCATCAACCAAGCCCGTTCTTGCCCGCACTCTAGATTTATCTTTCTGTTGCCTGGAGAGTTGGTCTCCGGCAACCTCACTCTGTGCTGCGCGACTTGTTCATTCCAATCCAAATTAGTTCATACTGTAGGTAGCCGCATGGGGCAGGACACCACTACAATGAAATAGAAACGCCGATGCGGTGCTTCATGCAACTGGAGGGTGATTGCAGAAATGTCGCAGGTACCTGATTTGGCCATGCGCGCATTGAGTCATTTCACAATTGCAAATCTTGGCTAAGAAAGGTATGTGGGAGGGAGAGAGAGAAGGTGATGTGCAAAAAAGCAAAGACCATACTACTTGATGCAGAATGGGGGCGGGGAGCATCACGAGTGAGGGCTCACACGCCGTATTACTCGATTGGGACAATCATGGGATTCTCTATCGGAGCTCTTTCGTACTGACAACGGAGTCTCACACTTAACTAACTAGTCAATCCTTCTCGAGTCTATAGCTAGGCTGAATATTACTATACGTGTTCCCCAATGTTCATTCTGCATCTGCATGCGGCCATTTTGGCACTGTCATCATACCGCAGTTTAATATCGCAATAGCACGGAATTTAATCTTCAAATAAACTTACACGAACGAAGCACAGCTTTAACCCTACTATAACCACTTTGGAACAGATGAGCAATCACAAGGTTAAACCCATGCGCCTTTTTTTTTTTTTTTTTTCCCTGGGCGCGAGTAAGTGTCTTATATGTAAACGAGGATAGCTTACTCGGTAGTCTTGACAGCTCACTTCTGTCTGGATATCCAAAGCCACTCAACAGATCACGAGTGATACTTGGCTGGCGTGAATATCTCGTCATCAATGAACGTGCATTAGCAGATTTGACACGCTGCGAAGTTTCGTTGAGACTAGATGGTTGTGATTCTGGACTGCAAGGACAAGCTCTTCCTTTACGTTTTCTTTTTATCTCAAACTTTATCTTTTAATAATAGCCACAACCATCTCTCGACGAATGAGCGAAGATTAGTATTAAAGTATTCTCAAGTAGAAAGGCAGTTTCTGGTGTCCGAAACCCACAAAGTGAAATGACTTAGATATTACCCCAGCGACATCTAAGCAAAGAAACCAACCGCACGGGTTAGAAAATCATGTTAGTAGCAAGGATTATGGCTAGAGGGCATACAGTACTAGATAGTAGAGGCTAAGCTTTGGAATATGACTAGTCAGCACATAGACAAGTGTATATCAGATGATGGAGGGGTAGGTACAAGAAGCATAGATTTACCAAAACAGTGAAAAGTAAAACGAAGGAGAGGCAATCGACGATGGCAAAAGACGAAGGCGGATTGACCTCTCAAAATAATCTCGTGCTACTCCCTTACAAGATAGTTATGCGATCCCTTCGGGGGCCTGAGGTCAAATCTCAGCCTTGTCGTTTGTTGGTGCTTTGACCACTTCTTTTAATTGCATGTACGGAGTAGACTGGGCAGGCTTGTTAAACAGTGTAGGGAACTGCCCTGGTCGAGCAAAGCAGGCCGTCGCTATAAACTTACCGAACGGCGTATGTACTTAGACAAAGGGACTGTAGTAGAAATTCGTTATTTTATCCTGGGTATCACAATATAATACAAGTATCTAAGCAACACAGCCTCCTGGGTTCCTGTTGCTTGTTTATCATTTATCAACTTCCATAGGATCGCCCGCTCCAGTTTCCGTTGCTGCTGTAGGTGCAGGTGCAGGTGCAGGTGTAGGTGTAGTAGCTGCTGGAGTAGACGCGTTGGTAGCACACTCAGAAGCTTTTGTTGTCTCACCTGCTTTATCCTTGTTGCCATCGGCAGGCTCACCATCACCACTGCTGTCCTTCTTCTCACTCACTTTTTCCGGCGGCGGAGCCTTCGGATCTAGAAAGCGCTCGGGGACACCCCGTGCAGCAACCCCGGCGGGGCCCACGTAGCATCCGAGCATAGTGCTCCAGGCATACTTCTGAGTGACGGTATTCCGGATTTCATTGTATGCGTATGCATTCGCAAAAGGAAGAGCCGTTTCGGGGTCCCGGTAGCGCGACGGAAGGG